AATTCGAACATTATAGAACATTCATTTGAAGAACACACTATTATTATGAGGAAAGGCAATACTGTGTAGTATTGTGAAAACGTCTTGAACGCTCGAAAATTTCGGTCACGTGAATACGTGAAAATGAAATCTCGAATCGCGTTTGATCCTACGATCTTAGGGAATATTTGCAGATGACAAGATAGAGGAAACGTATTTGTCAATGAATTGGGACAAATCTGGCGCCGCCGAGGTAACATTCACGTCTCGAATGATATATTGCCCTCCAACAACGTGTAATACACTCTTTTCTCTTCGACATGCTAGTCAATCAATGGTTAATTCTTTTTCGTCTTGTTACATCAAATTGTTTTTTTTTTTTTTTTTTTCTCCTCCTTCAAGATAATTTGGAGTACTTCGATTCTTGATGACGTTAATAACGATGTAATTTTATTTTATGTTAATACAGATTTTATGTATGTTTTGCATAGCATAAGATGCACATGTGTGTCTGAAATTGCGCGGTTGAATTGAAGGAACGAACGAAGAAATTTACATGATCTTTCGCTTTCTGTAAGCGTATTTCGACTAAAATGAAAAATTTCAACCCGCACTTGCAATAAACTTGTAATACTTTAATTGTTATGAAAATAAATTATTTTATCCTTTAAATAGTTCGGAACCATTCTACGTAGTTCTGTATATTCAAAAATTCACTTCACGTATCATTTCTTTGAATAAAACTTGATAGAAGTTCCCTAATAAAATTAAACTTAAATTTAAATAAAATAATGAAACAATTTAATTAAATAATCAATAATTTAAATAAACTAAATTTAATAAAAAAACGTTTAGTTTTATTTCTTTGAATAGAACTTTTCTAATAACATTAAACTCAATAATAATCCAACGAAAATCCTAATTGGAAACTGGAAAGACTCATCGTGCAGTCGTCTAGATCCTTGACTACAATTCCCAATTGTTTCGAGTTACACATTACGAAGGCGTTCACGACAGCACCGGCAGTTAATTTTAATTTTCCCATTGTTAACCTCTCGCCATGGTGTGCATTTGTTAAATTCGTGTTACCTTATTGCAGTTCATGGAGCGCCGAGTTACGATGTCACTGGCCACGTTCAGCCACGATTGGAGAGGAACGAGGTGATTCATAAAGTTAATAACAACCATCACCAACACCCGGCCGATTCGACAAACGATGATCGCGACGACGAGCAAACGGTCTACGTGATCGAATTCGAGTCCGAGTCGAACGAGAAGGAAGAAACGATGCAGAACAAAGGGAAAGACTCGACTTCTCGTAAGCATATGATATTCATCTTTATAAATTACAACTGAACTGAAAATGTGAGGTTTTTTTCATTTTTAACTTCCTGCAGTCTCATAGAGGAGACTCTAAAATGATGATATAAAGAATTTGAAGCAACGGGAGGAAAAAAAAGAACTTAATTAATTCTTCTAATTAATACTCCAATTATAGCTTAATCGTTTCAATTAATTAATTATACAAGTTTCAAGGCGCAGAATTCGCGGCTAAACGGTTAACGATCGTTAACCAGAAACCGTAATGCTAATTTCATACGCAACGTTTTATCAACATCCTGCCTGGCTCAACGTTAATGCGTACCAACGAATTAACAACGACACGGGTCGGAGAACCGACACGGAATGGATAAATCTTGCGTTTATCGTCTCGAAAGCCCACTACCAGAATCGAAGAGTATATTCGTCACGCGTATCTAACAGCGTTCGTTATCAGAATCGTTAATGTCACGCACAAAGATCCGTTTTGTTGATTCTAGACACGTTACCGATCGTCTCGCGAAGCGTTTTAACGTGTTTATTCGCGATTTTTATTCCGTCATCGTCAACAGGATCTCGCGCGAGAACATTTCTGATCGCCCGTGACCAAATTTGACGCCTCGAGATTTAACCTTCGTACGTTCCAGATATCTTTCGTTTTTTTTCTCTTTTTCAACGGTCAATATAATTTTTTTTTTTCTTTTTTTTTAATAATCGATATTTCAATTCATTTCAATTCAATCGAATTCTTTTTTAATTCGAATCGTCGATGGATCGTGTCGTGAAAGTGGAGCAACATTGAGATTTTTATTAAGAAAAAATTCATTTCATATTAATGATCAGGTGATCGTAACTGTTGACACGAGATATATAATTGATTTTGTTATTTACATTTTCAAACTTAGCCTATTAGCTTATTAATGGAACCCGGGCTATTCGATCGTCCATCCTCGGGAATATAATACAATTTGCATAAGGCAAGCAGCTGGTAATTGAGGTAAATCAATTCCAGCATTGATTTGGCGTAAATTATCAAGGAATTTATGGCTGTGAAATTAACTACTCTCCAGATGGTACCTTCACGAAAGACGTCAGCAGAGTGAACCAATAACTGGCTCCTATATTACGTGTATCTGTACTGTGATCTATATTGCTTTCAATTCACGTGCACGAATTACTTTTGAGTCACCACCTCGTACATCGTTTCATTTATTTACTTTAAGTTTTGAATTTCGTTACTTTTCTTTCTTTTCCCGGAAGGTTTGCAAATTACCGAACTATTGTGAAAAGTTTTATCAAGTCACGACTTGATAGAAATTGTAGGTGTCGTTGTAGATCATTCTCGTCTTTTTTTGTGAAATATTCACGGGTGATGGAATAGTACCTTGTACATAGTGTACTATAGAATTTGATAGTTATTGATTTTTTTTTTTAATTAGCACTAGAACTATCAAAGTAGTCAAAATAACCAATTTCTAATGTTTGTTAGAAATGTAGACACAGAGTAATGTATTATTTTAAAAAATTTTTTAAACTGATTAAAAATGTGTAACTTGTTGCATTATAGATGATATACTTTAAAAATATTACTATTAGAGAAGAAATTAAATATCTCCAACTTGATGGAACAGCTAGAACTATATAGAATCACAGCACCTATTACGATATTAATCTAGAGGTACATACATAGTCAATTCTCTCGCTCAAATTATACATATCTTGCTACAGAGGATTATCGTGATAATCGTAGGTGATATTCGATTTGCTCATAGTTGGATATCTTTTTGTTTCAGAGAACGGAAATGACCAGAACCCCCTAGACCCGTGGTCGATCGTCTGGTACATTGGCTCGTTCGGAGGTTTGGTCGCTTTCTTCCTGATCGTCAGTTGTTCAGAGTGGTGTTGCCGTCGTGGTGGACGACCACTGACCGTTCCGTACGCGCAACGAGCGGAAGCGATGAACGGGCCAGTGACAGAAACACCACCCCCGCCTTATCACTTATTCGCACCGCCGTCGTACGATTCCGTGAATTACGGTGAAATTGTGGACAAAACGTCCGGCGAGAAATTAGACATTTACGTGATATCCGTGCCGATTCACAGACCTGTGGTCCAGATCCCAGCCTAAGATTACCTCCGAGAGAGGTCCTCGATAGGGAGGATTTCGGGATTTCCAAGTCAAGAAGATAGGAAAAAAAAAAAAAAAGAAGAAACCGCAACGATCGCGACGATTGTTCGTTGCAGTTGTCCAGTACAATGTGCACTGTACTGCACGAACAGAAGAAAACACACATAGACTTGTTGAAGCTTCCTCGTTGGCATCCCCTCTAACCTGGATGAGGGGGGGG